TGCCCTACAGAGAGCAGGCCTCCTCTCTTTCAGTCAGAGGACCAAATGCTGTGGTCTTCCTCTCTAGAGCCTACTTGGGGAAGACCACACATGGTGATCCTGTCCATTTTATTGAATGTCAAGGTAGCTGGCATTGTGTTTTGGATATAACACTCCCAATTTAAGCCCTGGAATTCAGGGCTGGAACGCCACCGGAAAGTGTAGAGAATGCTTTCTTCTGCAATCACATAAAGAATCCTCTTGAGTAGGTATTTATTTCCTGTCAATGTTCAGAGGGCTTAAAACTTCTCTTAAAGAAAATATTGGCAGGCACTCAGGAGATAAGAGATAATATATAAAGTGGTTTAACTCACCCTGTTCTACCTACTGTTGTTCTTGGGAATTTTTGTTTTATACCCCTTTATAACTCAGTGTTCTTGCTCCCAAAAGGGAAAAGTTATTGCAGTGTTAATCCCTAATTAGGACAGGCATTACCTTCACTCTTACACTCTCAACATTCCTCCTCCTCACCCACTCCACCCAATCTGATGTCCATCAACATCCACTAGCACCAGACATTTCTTTTATTGCACTGCCAGCAAATTATTCTAATTGTTGGATATCCCCACAGGGAGAACTGACCCTGAAATCACATTAGTAGCTTTGCCTCTGTGCCTGGAATAGATTGATACTGTTAACAGGTCTTGGCATCAATTTTTATTCTTAAGCAGGATAACAAACCTACGCTGGGCTCCCTTGGGAGATAAAACAAAAATCAGGAAAGAGAAGCAGTTGTGGAAATGCTTCCTTCTGCAATCACATAAAGGATCCTCTTGAGTAGGGTATTTATTTCCTAAATTCTGTAACACTACTGTATATTATGAAGACAGCACCTGGATATTCCAGAAAGAAAATACAGACTTTCATGGAAGAGCTGCTTGGGTGAGTGGCACTCTCCACTGGCCCCTGTCCTAGTCACTTTTCCGTTTTTGCTGAGACAAAATACATAACACCCAAAGTTAAAAGGAGAAACATTTATTTAGCTCATGGTTTATAAAAGTTTCAGTCCATAATTGGTTAGCTCCAAGGAAGGGTGCCACACAGCACAGGGGCAGCAATTTTTTGGTAACAGAAGACAGCAAAAGCAACAAGGGAGGGTAAGGGAGAGCAATTCTCTTTCTGTCCCTTATATTGCATGTAGGCTACCTGCCCTAGGGCAGATATAGCACTCACATCCTTAATCTCAGCATTAGACTACGCAATCACAAAATCTAGATTCATCCACTTCTGAAAACTCAACCCCCTCTAACTGCATGAGGCTTTTGGGTGATGCCTAGACATAAACCATAGCAGTCCTTGATGTATGACAACCCTGGTAATTAAATATTCAGTGGAAGGAGCTCAGCGATTTAAATACTTTGATTGCCAGGGATTAACTAACTTCATAATTATCTACCAAATGCTTAGGTGCTACTTTAATTTTTCCCTTCTTACATGCCAACATACCAGGATTGTCATAACTTGGAGTATTTGCAACCAGTCACTCTAAGCCTTTCATCTAGGAAACGATTCTTTCAAATCTCTTCCAATGCATAGTTTGCTCTTATAACAATAACCTCATTGCTTGCAAACATTGCTAACATTAATGGGTCTTGGCATCAATTTTTATTTCATTGGATCTGCCCCATGGAAATATTTACATAGAGACCAATCGTGCTTATCAAAAGAACTCTTTCCTGTGATTGTTATAGTTTACAGTATGTGGCTCTGGGAAATCTGCAGCAAATGAAGCATTCTATCCCCCTGAGAACACTAAAGGCCTCTCTCTTGAGGAAACTGGATCTATTTTTATGTAGAGCAGATTTATACCTAGTGCTATTCTAAAAATGGATAGGAGTTTGTACTGCAGTAGCAGTTATTTCAAAGATTAAGGTACTAAGTTCAGAGGAGATGGCTTCTTCAAGCTAGATCCTCAATTTGAGAGTTCTTCTTAGAACAGTCTCTGAAATCACAGCATGAAAGAAACACATCTAACATGCTGTCTTATAAAGGACTGAAAAAATGTGATTTGGGTAGACATACACATAAAAATTCCACACCACAGACATCAGGTATAAGACATGCAATTTCCAGAGAATTATTTTGCTTTGTAGGCATTCTATAAGAAAATTAATCCTAAAGACCTATTATGCTTAAACAAGAATGAAAGCCACAGTGGCAGCTATAGAAGTCAAGCAAGAGTCATTTAATTCCTTAGCTGAAATAGTACTTCAAAACCACACAGCCCTCCATTCTTCTTATGGCCGAAAGTGGGGTGAATTGCACACTAGTAAACAAAATGTCCTGTCTTTGAGTAACTCACATCAGGTGCAAGAAGACCTTAAAACCATGAAAGTAAACATCAGACTTACAGATTACCTCTGTAAACAGGCAGATCTAGGAGCCAGTGAGTTATAATCCCTACTGCAATCCCCTACACACAATGTTTGGGCCTGGCTTCTTCATCTAATCATGCTCATTTGCTTTTTCATTCTGATCCTCATGTTTGTGCTGTGCATTCTTAATCTCTCAGCAAAATTGGTTTCTCCTTTGCTAGAATCTGTCAAACTCCAAAAGATCTTGTAGATGGAACCAATGATGAACGTGCTGACTCCTTCTACCAACCTCTGCTAAACTGACCCTGGGAGGAACAACAGCGGCTGAACTCCAAATAGACCCATGGAGGTCTCATCAGATTTGTTCTCTGCGGAAAATCCTTGGCTGCCATCTCTCCTATACTGACCCTTCTCAGTCTAAGTGGCCAGGGAAGTCTTTGCCCCTTCTCACCTTCTGGCAGTTAGGGACCACTTCTTCAAAGTGGGGTGTATGTAGTATAGTTACAATGAGTGGCCAATTAATCTAAGGAAAAATAGGTAATTAAAGCAGACATTTAAGTAGCCAGTTGTTTTGGTTATTTTTCTCTCATTGCTGGGACAAAATACCCAATACCCAAAATTAGGGAAGGAAAGGTTTATTTAGCTTACAGTTTGTGGAGGTTTCAGCTCATAATCAACTAGATCCAAGGCAATGTCATGTCACTGTGGCAACACTTCAAGACAGCAGTCAGCAAAAGCAGCTAGAGCAAAAGTGGGAAAGCAAGCCTCTTCTCCTTTATATTTTACAGAGCTCCTTCCTCTCCCCCACCCAGGTACAGCACTCAAAAAGTCTCCTTGTCCTCCTTTTGCACAGGATGATGATATTTGCAAAGCAAGAATCCCAGCTCCCAGTTGAGTGTTTTAGGTAAACTTCTAAACTTCTCAAGTTGACACAATGTATCAACCAGAACAGCAGTTAAATTTAGAGAAGTAAAAGAAAACACAAAAATAAAAGATTAAAGGTTATGATGAAAACAGAGATAAAGATTTCTTTCCTCTAGAAAAAAGACTCTATCCAGTGTATGCTAAGCTAGTTAACACTTTAACAGCTTCTTCTTACCTCCAGATCCAAATTTCAACCAGGCCTGAAGAAAACAGAGACACAAGATAACCAGTTTTCTCTTAAACTCTTTTTCTTCAAAACAAGCTCCCTTCATGCACTGCTTATACATGTAAGATAGGACAGAGAGCACCACTTGGATTTCTGCTCTGAATCCCCGTAGACACACAGCACGAATTTTCATTTATTATTTCCAATAAAATTCTTGTAGCTTTCTTCTTTGGTTCACAAATTCGTCCTTCCCCATTTATGAATGATGAAGCTCTGGGCTCATTGTGTACAGAAATAATGGCTACAATAGGAAGTAGTAAGACAGATCTTTTTCAAATGGGAAGGAGATCAAGAGATAGGACGGGGGGGGGGGGAGAAAAATGCACTGGAATAAGAATTGAGATGTGTTATGTACCAGTACCAATTCCTTGCAAGGAATATAATGGCATAATGCCAACATGTACTAATTTAAAAAAAAAAATGAAAAAAAGAAACTATTCCATGGTAAGCAAATCTTGCAGATTTTATCTCCCAGTCACTCCTGGGTATTTATCTTCTGTCCCTAACCATTCTTTCTTTTGCTCTGGATTCTCATCACACTTACTGTCTGATCTCTCAATCTCCAGTTTTCCTTTCACCCAACCTATTAATGCTCAGCAATATTCTTTTTGAAGCACATGTATCACCATAATAATTAGCAATAAGTCATATCTTCTTAAAGCACAGGATCCTTTATGACTAATTTGTTTTCAAAATTCCCAACCTACATTTTTTTATTGCATGCTCATACACAGGTTATGCCAGTCATACAGATGTACATAAATATACCACACTGTTTCACAGAGCAGGGTTTGTATTCATGCTAAATTAAATAAGATGATGTAAAACTCTTTCTCCAACGCCTGATTAATTTTAACAGCAAATTTCTAAATAAGTCACTTTTGCAATATGGCTGGTTGCTGTTAGGATTCAGTTGTATTTTTGATCATGATCATAATACTTAACGCTAAACTCCCCCCCACAGGTAGAGTTAGTTGTCTTTGATAGTTATTGCCAGTATCTTATTGACCCTTCAAAAAATTATTATTCTTGTCTTCTAAATGAGAAATCCTAGGCTTGGCAGAGATGGAACAGTAGCTCCACTTCACAAGCTGAGCTGCAGCGCGGGGGTCTGGGCTGGGGTCTGCAGAGCAGCGGTAGGGATCCTTCCCGGGAGGAGCTCCGCGAGGCTCGCGGGAAGCCGGCGGGCGGGCAGGAGGCTGCTCAGCGGGAGGCTGTCAGAGGCCGCAGGTTTTCCGCTCTTTGGAAACAGCCCCGCGGAGAGTGAGGGGTGTCTGTTACGCCACCCAGAACGGGAGCGGCCGAATTTTAAGGTATGGAACTAGGAAAACGGCTGAACGTGGACACCCTTCCATCCCCGCAGCGGTGCTAGTAGGCCCCGGCAGCCGGGAAAGGCGCAGGCGCCCCGGCGCTCTGGGCCACCTTCCTGCCGGGCGCTCTGCGCAGGCGCAGGTTGCCGCGGCGCCGGGCCCAGCCAGTGTTACTGGCGTCCGCCCCGCCCCCGCCCGTGTCCGCGGCCGCCCTGCCATCCAGGCCGCCCTCTCCGACTCCCTGCTCGGGACCGCGGCCGCCGCGACCCTGTGCTCGGGCCTGTCCGCGCCGGAGCCGCCCGGGACAGCGTAGCGCCCGCGTGCCGGTGAGCGACCTCGGACGCCCAGCCCCCGCGGCCCCCGGCACTGTGGGGCCGAGCGGCGGCGGCGCCTCCGGGCCTGGCAACCAGTGGAGGAGGGGAGGCTGCCGGGGAGCCGGCTCGGTCGCCTGCGCTCTGCGCCCGGCCCGCTCTGGGCCTTAGCCTCAGCCTTGCGCCAGCTGGGGCTCGGCTCCCTTGCAGGCCCCGCGCCTTGGGCGGCCAGGTGTCCCCGGTTGCTGTTGTGGTGATTGCTTTTCCTCGCCCGGTTGGCTGCAATGCGTTTGCAGCCTTTGCCTAGTAGACTGTGCGGTGGAATTTTGTTGATGGCACTTTTCGAAAGGGGCTGGTTTCCTTGGTTCTCAAGCACGCCCTGAACGAAAGCAGTATCTGTACAGAAAGATGACGACCCATTTAAATTGGTTGGAGTGTGGAGAATATTGTTGGGTTTTCTGGAAATTAATAAACCGCGATAATCGAGAAAGAGGGATCTAGCATTCCTTTTTAAACAATATGTGTCCAAGAATAAAAGTGGTTAAGTTGTGAGTGTTCTGAAAAAAATCTAGGATGAAAGTTAGAGATTACCAGTGCTATGCTTGGCTAACTCTGTCCCATCTCCAGTCTGCCCAAAGCAGAATCAGCCAAGCTGGCTGTTGGACTAGAAAACCAGCCAGGACCCAGAGCCCCTTAGGTTGCCCTCGCCCCAAGGACTCCAGTAGAGTGCACCTGGCTCAGCCAGTGTCTGAGCCCCTTGATCTGAGTTCTTGCACTGAGCAGACTCTGAAGTGACACTTCTTGGAGAGGGTGATGGTTAACATTACCCTCGGAACCACCTGTGACTGGCACATGTTGGTTTGGCTTGGATTAACTGTTACAAGGACAAATTAAAATAATACGTTTCAGAAATCACAAATCAGGTGTTTTTGAACTTGTGTGGACAATATGTATATGAATTTTTAAAACGATACATAGTAAAAATATTCTTTTTCTACAATATTGTTTGAATTCAAGTATAGTTTTGTTTTGTTTTAATCCTGCTGTTTACATTGTATTTGAGTCCGCTGTCATAATTTTTTTTCTCAGAACAGTATTAGCAGGGTGGATTAACATGACCATTAAGTTCTTTTCAGTCTTGACATTGTAGCTACTAGCAGAGGTTTTGTTTTGTTTTAAAATAGAAACCAGTAGGAATTACTTATTTTTACTTGGCTTTTAAATTTATATTTAATTTCCCCTGTGTTAGTTTTATACTGTTTTCCTAAAGTTTGGAAGTTAGTGTTCTAAATTTGCTCGTTTACATTGGTAAATTATATTTAATGTTTTGGGATGTTTGGCTTATAATTTTAACTGCCAACCGTGAAACAAAAGAAGTCTAAATGATACGGTGTTTTTGAGGTTTTTTGGTGCAAATGTTGAAATGTTTGAAGCAAGATAGCAAAAGATAGAAGTGATGACTTTTCTCTAAAGGGTATGAATTTTAAACTGGAAAGTACCAGTTTGAAATTACTTAATACTACACATATTATCTAGTTGTAATCTACCTAAAGCACATTTCGCCTTTAGTGCCAACTAGTTTAAAGATACAATGTGTCTTTGTTCTATTCTAACAAAAATGAACCCTGTATGTTTCCTTGTAGGGAACCTTAATAAGGTGGAGGCTTTTGTCAAATGTTAGGGTTTGAAGGCCAGTTCTCATTACAAGTCTGATGAGATACCCTGTGGTATTTGGTTAGAAATACAGTTCTGGACTGTTAACAAATTGATTCTTTCTTTCAGTCAGTATTTGATGGAATTTAATTTTAACCCAAAAGGTAGTTTGAACACACTCTTGAAGTTTATTCTAAATTAATTAGAGTGATAGAAACATCCTGTGGGGTTTTTGAGTATACTTGTTCCTTGAAGTTTACTGGTTTTCCTTTTTCATTAGACATGGGAAAGTCTCTTTCTCATTTGCCTTTGCATCCAAGTAAAGAAGATGCTTATGTTGGAGTCACATCAACTGAAAATATGAGAACGGGATTGGTTAATGGTGAAGTCCACAATGAAGACGGAAGAAATGGAGATGTCTCTCAGTTTCCGTATGTGGAATTTACAGGAAGGGATAGTGTCACATGCCCCACTTGTCAAGGAACAGGAAGAATTCCTAGGGGTATGTGGCACTGCTTTGTTTTTCCTTTACAGAATGACTCCACACATTTGCTCAAATGTTGATAGTATAAAAACCTATGGAAGTAAGCAGCTGTTTTAACTGACTTAAATAAAAAGTAAGACTTCGTATCAATTGCCTTCAGTTAAAAGAGCACAAACATACTAAGCTCCGTAAAGCAGTCATGAAGATGACTTGCCTCCATCCGGTATTGTTGCCTTTCCTGCCAGCTGTTATAGATAGTGCACACAAGTTTCCAGTCATCTGGAAACTTGGTCATGTTTGCCGTCTGTAGAGAGTGTATCACAGTTGTTCCCATGCAGGTTGTTAGAAGCAACTTAAGTAATTTGGTCATTTTAACATTTGTAATTCATTACTTAAAGAAGAAAATGTGGTATTTATCTAAAACTGAGTATAAGTCTACTATAATGAAGGATAAACTTGAGGCATTTGTAGGTAATAGTGGTACTTACAGGTCGTTGTGGTAAATGAGATAAATCAGAAACATGCAGCTTATATACCACATGGTTTCTCTTCTGTGAGAAACGCAAAATAAGAAGAGCAAAATAAAAGATAGACAATGGGAAGTAGGGAAATGTTTTTCATATGGGAAAGAGAACAAGAAATGGAGAGAAGAAGAGGGAAGAGGGATGAAAAAAAGATTTGAAGGAAAAGCATAGGAAATTGGAACTCTCGTAAATGTGCGAGAGGAGCAAGAGTTATAGGGAGCACGGAGAGATGGGAGGATTAGGGGATGATAAAATTAAACTGCACTATACACCTCCCCACAATAAATGTGATTAGCATGTACTGCAAACATGTACTAATAAACTAAAAAAAGAACAAGTTGTACCTGCCCTAATTTGTTATTTCTGAAAAGAACTGTATGGTACATGAAAGTGACACAATAGGGCTGTGGTAAACCATTGGGGCTGTAAAAAAGGGAATTTGTACTATTTTTGCGGTACATTAGGTATGGGAGGAAAATGTGGAAGAAGTATATAAGGTACCTTATGGTGTTTTCATTCTCTACTTAGTAATTAAGTTGTGTGACTATAGAGAGACCATGAAAGAAGGACAGAGTAACAGTTTATCAGAACCTCTGAGAAATGCCTTGGATTAGGGGTAGGGAAGGTTATATTTCCAAGACTGTTGAATGTGATAGCTTAATCTTTGCAGGAAAAGTAGCTGCTAGAGAATAAAAGGATTATTATAGTTGAAGAAATCATTGTACCAGGCTGATGGGGATGGGAGAGATGTATTTTAGCAATCTTAATTGTATTTTAGTGCTGTGACCAATATACTTTTTGGCAGTGCCAAGATGAATTTTGAAACATAGGAATAAAGGATAACTCACAGATTTTTTTTTTCTAAACAACTGAAAAAAGGGGAGAAATGATTTATTAAAATAGAGAAAAAGATTTGAGTTTGTTTCAGCAAAAAGATCAGGAGCTTAATTTTAGGCATGTATGTTTGCAGATGAGTATTTGATACAGAAGTGAATACTTCTAATAGGCAATTCTTTATTATAAGTCTGAAATTCAAGTATAAGTTTGGCCTAGAGGCATCAATAGAAAAGTGATACAGTATTTCAGTTAAGCTGAATGAGAATATCAGGCTCTCAGTGTGGATGGAGAAAAAAAGAGACCCTGGCCCAGAACTTTGGGATACTACAGCATTTCAGGGTCAGTAGGGTGAGAAAATATTTGCAAAGGAAACGACAAAAGAGCAGCTAAAGGAAGACAAGGAAATTCCTAGGTGTGTAGTACCCTGGAAGATAAGTGAAGAAAGTATATCTAGGAGAAAAGAATAGTCAGCAGTTCATGCTACTGAGCAATCAGGTTATATGAGAAGTGACATCAGTTTTGATGACGGGTAGGCCATTGCAGTTTTTTGTAGTTTGTGAAAAAGGATGTGTAGCACATGTGTAATACATATAAAGTGAGATCAAGGAGATAGAGATAAAATAGTGTGTTTTGTGTTGTTTTGAGATACTTTGGTGTATGGAAAAGGAGAGTAGAGCGGTATAGGAAGGGATTATGAAGTCTGAACAGGGATCTTTTTTAACAGAATGATTAATGTTTGTATATTGACAAAATTCATCTCTAGAGAAAACCCTGGTAATGCAGGAATGGGAAAAGTATTGGAAGATGGTCCTGAATAAATGAAAGGGGATAAGATCTCATGGACAAGTATAGAGGGCTCCTCTTACAAAGGAATACAGGAAGCTTATTTTTCAGTGATAAGAGACAAGGCAGAAAGTTTGGACATGGAAGCAATTATGTAAATAGATACTGTTAAATCAAAATTCAGACTATATAGACTGTGAAATGAGTTTACAGAGCTGTTACATTCTAACGAAAAGTAAAAGGACCAAATTTGCTGTGCTACCAGTGGCATGGGCATATAGCAGTTGGAAAAATGTTCACTGGACCTCAAAGGGCCAAGATTTTTTATAATGAAATTTGGAGAGGAAGGCTTAAGCTGTTTACATTAAATCTGCATTGGCTCTAGGTAAAGGAGTAAGCCAACATGAAGGGGCAAAGTCTTGGGATGGGAGGACAGTCAGTAAAGAGAAGCTTTTGCCATTTCTTGGGTAGTTGGTTCCAAAAGCAGAATGCAGCGTGGGAAGATACAGGAAATGAATGTGGAGCAGGTTTTTATTTTTCTTTGTCGATTTACCTTGATGTTATGAATTAAAACATATCTTCTTCCTCCCTCCATTCTCTGACTTACAACTCAATTTAGAACATACCAGAATTCTTTTACCACTATGGTGGTAGGGGTTTATAGAAGATCTCTTCATGAACTAAGAATGAGTATAAAAGAGAAGATAGTGAAGGTTTGAAGAGAGTTGAAGTTATGAAAATGTGACTTTGGAGTGTTAGATTGAGTGTATGACGTAGGAAAATACATTATGATCATTGGCCACTTGAAATTAGTGATCTGAGATGAGACCAGTGACCTCTTGAAGCTTGAGTCTTAGAAGATACCCGTTTTGGGTTTCAGAGGGGATAGTGTTAGAATCTCTGAAGTGAGACGTTTCAGGGAAGAGACACAGCAATGTGTTTCTCCTATTGTCATTCAGACAATGAAATCAGAGTCTTCATGGAAAACAGAGGAGTTGAACTAAGACTTTTTAGATTTAAATCTTCTGAAAAGTGAAACTTCTTAGGTTTCTTCAGAGGATAATGTAGACTTCTTTCTACTATTTTGAATTAACTAGATATCTTGGTATAAAAAGATACAGTGTCTTCTCTAGAACTTAATTTCTGCTGGATAAGTACTAAAGAGTTACAATGCAGTTTACTAAGGGAATGAGATGAAAGCCAGATGGATTCCTGAGCTTTCTAAAGTATATTATTATAATGTACAACTGTATTTTTATTTAATCATGTTAATAAGTATTTAAACTTACTGCTCTTACTTTTAGGACAAGAAAACCAACTGGTAGCATTGATTCCATATAGTGATCAGAGATTAAGGCCAAGAAGAACGTAAGTGATTATAAAAAAAATAATAGTTTCCTGGTTTGATTTTTATCTTTTCATTTCAGATTATATATCAATAATTACTCTAGTTAGGACCATTAAAAGGAAAATTTCTGTGAACTTATTAAAGTATACCACTATATGCTTCGTGTCATAAAATTAAAAAGATTTCTGTTTGGGGTGAGATTCTGAAAGCAATATGATGTCTTTGTCTTCTCAAATCTTATTAAAATAGATCTAGAATAGCAGTAGGAAACACACATGTGCTGTTTTCATTAAAAACAAGTGATGAATTATTCCAGTTCCTCGCAGCATAATTATGGGTATTCAAACCATGATGGCAGCATTGACCTAAACATCCCTAGTCGTTTTATTGAGGTTGTCAAGGAAACCAATCGAGAGTATTATAGGGGCTTAAGCCCACCACTTATTCTGCAGAGCTTAAATTTAAGGAAAGGGAAACTACCCAAAAGGGGAGGAATAGACGCTAGTACACACAAATACCATTGATCTTAAACACATTAAAATATGTTCAGTGTTGCTCATTAAAGACATACAAAAGAAAATTGCATTGAGATACCATTCCTATCAGATTGGCAGAAATCCAAAGTTCCTTTAGCATGTTTTTAGTTGGAACTAAAAATAAGTATATGCATGCCTCCTAGTGAATGAGAATTTTACATTATGAAACAAAATTATGTATGAATTTGCTCTTTGGCTCAGGGACTCTGAAAAATTTATTCTGAGGATTGTCAAATTGAGTAGCTATCATTTATACAAATTACTCATGTGCCAGTGTTTGTAATAGCAAAAATGTAGACTCAATTTAAATAGTAAATAATAGTTGGTCAATTAAGTAATGCTACATGTACTTTAGAGTAAAATGGAATGAAATAAGAACTGATTTACCACAGTGTGATATTCATAGCACATTTTTATTTGAAAACACATTCGTGCACACATATATATGTACCCACAAAAGAATGAAATCATAAGCCAGTAACTAATAAAATTAGTTGTTCTCAGAGTTTGAGAGGGAACTGGTAAAAAAGTAAGATTGGGCTTTAAAACTACTTTCTTTTTACATGACCTAAAAGATGAAATCAGATGTTAAAAACAGTAGCGCCTAAAATGAAACAAAAAGCAAAAAGTGGTTCTGTGTATTGAGTTGATGATTGAATGCAGTTGAAAGCATTCCTGTGCATGATTTTAAATCACTGTATTTCGATTGTCAAATCTAGTGAGATGTTCTAAACGGCAAGCAGAACCACAACTAATTTTAAATTGTACTCAGGGTTCCCCGAACACTCACTGAAAGTATTGTTGGATTTTTATCCATAAAGCAAATAAGTAGGTGAATGCCATTAAGGAACAAAATTTTCAGCATACAAGCAGAGAGGCAAGATTAGATTTTCTAATTAATATTTTGAGATAGTGGATCTCAGGCATCAAAGAAAGACATCGTGGATGTTGGAAAGAAAATGACTTAAGCCATGCTGTTGTTCCGCTTACTATCTGGAAATAGGTTGTAGACTGTAGCAGAAGGAAAGGAACCTAGACAGAGCTTAGCTGCCTCCCTGAAGTGTGGAAGTGGGGCCTGAGGGTCCAGGAAGCAAAGAGGACCGCAGTTAGCAGAGCACACGGCAAAAGATAGAAAGCTACAGAGGCTGCTGTTACCCTGCAGCTGAGTCCTGAGCAGCATAGTGTGTGACAGAGTACCTGAGGTTGGGGAAAGACTGCCCTGTAGGAGCGGAGCAAGCAATCTGCAAAGTTCATGCAGGATAGAAAGTTTTGTTTCTCAATTTGTAGTAAAATTGTAGTATCTTAGAAACAACTCAGGGTTTTTACTTGTTTACAAGTTGAGGCAGTTATGGTATTTAAAAAACATTTATCAATTGCTTTGTAAAATTTAGCTAAGTCATATAATACTAAAAACATGTATCTTATAAGACTAAATTACCTTAAAAACAACCCATAGAGAACAGCAGAAGTAGAACTCTAATTTGACACCACGTGTACTACTGAAGCTTTATAACCTTGTCGAGTACTATGTATCTCCCAGAATTTGGTTGCTGTCCCTAGGGTAAGAAGAAAAAGTGTCACTGTTGTATCTTATAAGAAAAATGCACATACTTTGTCAGTGAACTAGCCATTTATTTTCAATTTGAAGTGAAATTCTATGTGGGATGTTATTTTATTTTTTAGCAGTTTCAATAATATTTGCTCTAGTTGTAAATACTGTACATGCATATATTCACAACTAGGACTGCTCTATGGGTTGAGAAAATACAGAGTGAGTGTGAATTGATTCACTCAGTATAATAGCAATTTGGCAAAGTTTTTTTTTTTTTTTTTGATAAGCCATTTGCTCTTTTTTTCTTTACTTAGACAACTTAAAATACTCAGAAAAAAAAACCAAAACACCCTTATGAGGCTATTTAATCACTGCTGTGATACATGTAATGATTAACTTCATAAAGGCATAGAAAATTGGTTTGGAGGAGAATATGGAAGAAAGAACGAAAGTAATTTTTTTTTGTATAATTACACTATCAGGAAGATGAAGCAGTATCTGACTTAGGCCTTTAAACGGAGGGCTATGTATTGGAGAGATTAGGAAATTTGAAACTAGCTTTGAGAATATTTTTAAGCAAAAAGGATATTTTCCTTTATAGAGATTAAAAAGAAAATAGAGGGGATAAATACTGCCTATTGCTAAGGAGTTAGAAGAATAGCAAAGACAAGTTGAGTTCTTTTCTTTTTTTCTTGTAACTGCAAATATTATTTCTTTGATTGATTAAAAAACTATAACAATGACTTCAAGCCCAAGTTCATCAATGTAAATAATGTTTTTTTAATAGTAAGTGCATAAGTATTTGGGACTGACAAATCAAAAAGTACAAATTCTAGTCACTGAGACTGGTAAAACTGTGCGATTATTTCATTATTTTTAAGACCTTCCCAGGTGATTCTGATGCAGTCACTTTAGGAGACTGTGTCATAGTGAAACTCACATGTGGAAACTTTGCTTCAGTGAATTCAGAAAGCAACTTTGAAGTCTGTATCTAGATAGAGCTCCTAGGCTAAAACCTACTGTGAAATCTGGTTTCAAAATTACCTCAATAAACATTCGTTATAAGCCTGGAATCCCATTTTGCAAAAGAAGTGAATTCATCTTCAAAGGAGAACATATTAATGCTTAGTAGAAAGAGAAAGCATTTCCTAGGACTTTCAGAATGTGAAATTCTGGTGAAATTATGTAATTTAGTGCTGGTATGATACATGGAAAAGATATTCAAAGTGAAAATATCTTCTTTAAATGTATCATAATGCAGTTTTTGATGCACATATAATTAAATACTTCCTTTTCAGAAAGCTGTATGTGATGGCATCAGTGTTTTTCTGTCTGCTCCTTTCTGGATTGGCTGTGTTTTTCCTTTTCCCTCGATCTATTGATGTGAAATACATTGGTGTAAAATCAGCATATGTCAGTTATGATGAACAAAAGAGAACAATATATTTAAATATCACAGTAAGTACAAATTTATATTGAAAATCTTTTATTTTGGCCTTTATCCTACTAAGCAGTGCCTTTATCCTGGATAAGAGCGTGTTTGTTAAATGTAACACTGTCTGGTTTGCTTCCTACATGTCTTTGCTGTGTTGATCCTTCTCTGGTTTTGCTGAAAATGGTAAAAAATAAGTACTGGCCATTCATACATAGAATTATTCTTTTAGTAGGATCAAATAAACCAAACATTTTCTGAAAAAGAAAAAGTATTGCAATCTATTGACTTCAATATTTGATTCCAAATAGCCTCCTAGCAAGTATGCTCCTATGTGATTCAATAGAATGTAACATTTTACTTCCTTTCACTTTGTGAAATACAGCTTTGGCATGTGTAACAGACCAGTCCTTTATTGTGTTTAAAGATGAAGTAAAAACAATTATTTGATTTTAGTGAGTGTGAAAATGTCCTCTGTTTCCCAGGAAAGCATTTTTTAAAAAGATCATGCAGCCACCCAACTCATAAACACTACCATACCTCAGAGAATCTTTTCTATTATCTTTTGCATACACACATATATAGTATATGTATGTGTGTATGTATGGGTGTATATATATGAATTATGCCTTGTATCTGCATGTTCTTTGGGAGAACATGTGCTCATACATGAGAAGTTTTTGGCTAGATTAGGGTGTCTTACTGGGACAGAGTGTATAGTGCTGGGACTAAGACAGTGGATAAGGAACGACCCACCCTGGGTGTGGTTGGCACCATCCAAAGGCTATAGCCTGGATAGAACAAAACGGAGAGGCAGGCTTCCTGCTGCTTGCTGCCTTGGCTGTTTGCTGCTTCCTCTCTGCCATACCATGGAGTGTTTCTCCTCTACAGTGCCACCATACAGTGATACCCTGCTTGGGAAATAGCCAGCTGTGGACTAAAACCTCTGTATACACTGAGCTGAAATAAACCTTTTTTCCTTTAGCTTATAGGTGTCAGACATTTTGTCTCAGCAGTGAGAAAAGTAACCAAGGCATGGGTGATCCTGTTCACAGTCATGTGTGGCTTTAGGCTTTTTGGAAGAATGTGGACTTAGTTGGTTTTCCTTTTGTAGATGAATGGCGAAAGTAGAGGTAGGGGTTCCTGTGTGGTGGTGGTGGTGGTTGGGAGCAAAGAACTCTGAAGGGATGGACAATGAAGTAGAAGACTGGGTTAAAGTAGGATTACTACTTGATTACAGAAAAAAAAAAAAAAAGCTGTTGTGAATCCACTTATCCTCATTGCTTACTGTCAAGAGTTGATAAGGGCTTAAAAAAACTAAATCCATACCATTCACAATAGAATTGTGACTAAAACATGCCAGTGTTAATTGTAGCATTATGAATAAAACATCATAACACCACGCTAATTTTAAATAATTTCATATGACCAGAAAATGACTCATTAGTGTTTTCCTACTTTAACAGCTCTATAGAAAAAGGGAGATATTTTTTATTTGTCTCAGGTTTACAGCAATGGTCAGGTGTTTTTTTGTCCTGCTTGAAGTTTGCTGTAGTGTCCAATAGGATAGACATGTAATAATTTCTACTGAAAAGACATGTAAAGTTTCCTTTTAAATCCAATGTATGCAAATATGAATTTAAAACCTTATTGTAAATAACTATTTTCATGTCTTAGTCACCTTCTCGTCCTGAGACACGTAATACCCAACACTTGCAAGTTAGAGGAGGAGGCTCCCAGGCAGGCAGCGTGGCAAAGGGACACAACAGAGGAGGGCTGCTCATGGCATGCTGGATGGGAAATAGAGCAACATACATTTAGTTCATCTCCAAGAGTCATCAAAGACCTAACAGTTTCTACATTGTTGAAAAGTCCAGTCTTCTCTGAGACTTACGGCAACTGTGAGCCTCTATAAAAATAAAAAAGTCAAACATCGCTGACATACAATGGCAAACAGTAAACACTGCCATTCCAAAAGGGAGGAATTTGGAGATAGAAACCAGTGGAACCACAGTATAATCAAAGCCCAGCAAGGCAAACATTAAATCCTGCATTTCCATGTCTAGCACCCAGGGCAAGTTTGACAATGATGTGATCTCCAGCTGATAGCATGAGATTCAGCCTACAGTGTACCTACCTCAACAGCCATTATGGCTTCTCTTTTAGACTAGCTTTGCTCATTCTTTATGGCTTTCCTGAGATGGTCCATATTCCTGGCTTTTCCAAGTTTTGGGGGTCTCCACTACACTTTTAGCATTGTTCTCACAGTTTTATGCACTCAGCAGTCCCTTCTGAAATCCGGGTGAATCCCTTCTGAAAGCTTCTATGACTTCGTAACTCTTATATTTTGTCTGCACATGAAACTAGTACCTAATGAATTACTCTAAGGTCTGCAGACATACAGATCAACAACCAGCCACTTTCACATCTTGCCAGTGGTTGGAGAGGCCTCCAAGTGCCAGATTGGTTAAGCACAATGAACTGAATCCTAGGAAATCAGTTTCCTAGGCTGCCTTTCTTCAACAGAGTGCCCTGGGGCTCTCTTCTCAAAGCAAAGTGTTTAATTTTTGCAGGCAAAAGAGTGGGATCTTGCTTTTTGGGGAGAAGCTCTCAAGCCATTTTTCCTGTCATCCTGATCCAAAGTATTTGGCTCTTTTTTTAATGCTAATGTTTCCAGCAACCAATTTATCCTGCGTTCCAAGTTTATAGGCTCCAACTTTATTGGAGCTTCCTTTCTGACCAAACTCAAAACTTTTAAAATGACTCAGATGTGCCATTTTCTCTTGATATTCAATGTAGGTCTGTCTAAAAGTCCCCAGCAGTACCCAAACCACAGCCATAACATTATGCTGCAGTGAAATTTCCTCAGCTGTAGTTCATCACTGTTATCCTTCCACAGAATCTCAGAACATAAGCAAAATATTGATAGACATGGGTTTAACCAGTGGGGTCCTTGTTCCCAAAGGAAATCTCCTGAGCCTGATCTTTACCATCTGCATTTACGTGAGCATTCTGGTCTTCTGAAATCTGACTGGAATGTCTCATCAAGTTTGACTTAAAACATTCTAGGGTTTCTCTAGCCAGCATCTCCAAACTTCCCCATATTTACTCCTGTGAACCAGTTCCAAAGGCTTCTGGAACCACATAGTCAATAGCATTATAGCAATGATCCTATGCTGGGTACCCAAATTGGCCTTAGTCACTTCCTTGTCATTTTGACACAATACCTAACACCCACAAGTTAAAAGAGATGGGGATTTATTTTGGCTCACAGTTTATAGAGTTTTACATCCATAGTCAGCTGGCATCAAGACAATACAGTATGATACAGAGGCATCACAGAAGAGAACTTGCTCATGATGTAGTGACTAAGTATCAGAGAGAGTCAAGGAAGGAAACAGGAAGGGAGATATAAACTTCCAGGTCCTGCCAATGCAAACTTCTAGGTCCATTGACCCACCTTTTCCAGCCAACCTCCACTTTAACATCAAGTCAGCTGTAATGCCACTATAATTCAGGCACTTTCTGAAGGTTCTGTCTATGATCTATCAAGGCTTCAGGGGATGTGAACATATAAACCATAACCTCCCATATTTCCAGATACTACCTCATGATAATAACTAAGCATTAAATGAGAAATGGGAATTGCTATTTTGATGAACATTAGACTTCACCAGAGGGTGTTGAGATAAGAGGCTAATAAGATTATAGGTTAGATGTTGATAAGTTCTTTAACAATAATTTGAACAATAGAATAATGTTGCTTTTGTTTCTCAAAATGATTAGTAAATGTTAATGCTACTTTTCTTGTTTTAGTAAATAGAATAGAAAAATATTTCACACAAGTAGCACAGATGACTTCTGTTAATTCCACAGAATCCTGTGTGATGATTTCTTCCCAGCAGCAAGCAGGCATTCAATTCTGTAGAGGACACCAGCTGGGTGAACTGCCCCACTTCAGTTGAACGCAAGACCAGGCCTCCAGGACTTCTGAGGAACTATCATTTTGAATTCCTACACCCTCTTCCTTAGGTTTAATTAATTTGCTGAGGCAACTCACAGAATTCAGGAAAGCAATGTGCTTAAATTTACTGATTTGTTATGAAGGATATTTGAAAAGATGCAAATAGCTGAGCATGGGTTCTTACACATGTAATTCCAGCTACTCAGGAAGATAAGGCATGAGAATTGTGAGTTCCAGGCCAGTCTAGGCAACTTAGTAAAACCCTGTCTCAAAAACCAACCAATAAAGAACAAAGAATGTAAATAAATTAGAAACTTCTGTCCCTATGAATTTGACCTTGTGCTTGGATGAGTTCCTGTTTACCTTCTGTGCAGTGGCACTCAGAACACTGTTCTTTCAGAATTTTATGCAGACTTCATTGCAAGAGCATGATGAAAGCATACATAGAACTGTGATTAAACACAAAGAGGATCTGATCTAATGAAAATGAACTACTACGTATGGAAACTCACTAAGGGCTTCCTGTTCAGATTCTTCTTGGGAACACATTTTTGAAAGTAAATTTGTTTATAATTGTGGTCACTTTTTTACTTATAAATTAAATGAACTCTCACTGATTTCTGTAAGAAATCAGCTTTTTAGTACTAAATTTCCATGTTCCCTGTCTTATTTTTTGTCTTTGTTAATGTTTATATTCATGTTTTTTTCTGTCAATATATTTTTTCTAATTCTCATAAATATTTGTTCAGTTTTGCATCATTGCTCCCTTAAATATTATAGTGAAAATTATGGATACTTAAAAAAAAAAAAAAAGAAAGCCATAAGCCAACATTAATTTGTATATATAGAGGATTCCATGACTTGGTCTGCATTGAAAGATCCATTTATCTCAAATTATTATTTTCCTATTGTGTCTAGAAATGAAATCAAGATGATTAACAACCTAATAAGTAAAACATATAGTAAAACAAAACTATTTTAACTGTGGCATACATTTTTTAAAAATGTCTTTATGTTTATAATTATAAATGAATATACACATACAATCATGATTGCTACTCTGTAGTACATTCTTTTTTACAAAAACTTTTTTCTTTACTCATCCCTTGCTAAATATCTGTATCTTTCTTTACATTCATATTTAACTATAGAAATACATTAACATTAAGTTTTAAAAAATAATTCTTTTCTTTGTTTTTCTTTACATTTTATTACTACGTTTACCTGTACATGACTACTTTTATTGTGGGGAATTTGTACATGCACAAAACACATCTTAATTCTTTTTTTGTCCCCTAACCCCGCCATCCTTCCCTGCTCTTTCCATATATTTGTACCCTTCCCACTGGCTAAAGCCCTATTTCCATTTTTTCCTTTCACTTTTTTTTCCTTGCTGTTTTCCTCCCCTTCTTTCCCCCTCACTCTATCTCTTGTTCCCTTTCCCATTTTGTTGGAGACCACTACAAAGCAGCTCTGGGCAGGGTTTAAATTTTACTAATTGGCTTTCTGTGTTTATCTGTGAGTCTGACCTAGGCCTCAGTCCCTTGCCTGGCAACTGGAGCTGATTCATAGCAAGTGAACCTCTATGAATCACTGGTCCTGGCTGAGGCCTGTAGTGGCCTGTGAGGCCAGAGATACTTCAAAGGGCAAGATAAGGCCACAGCTGCAGGGACTTGGCTCCAACCCCAATTAACAAGATAGAGACTGCAGCTGCAGAAATTACCCCTACAGTCTCACTTCTACCATGTCTTCATGATAAGACAGTGCTACTAAATTGAGTTGATTCATTCCTTTGGAGATGTCCTTGAAGTGATTAACAAGGTCCTGCTTATTGCCTGCACTTTGCTCAGTTTTTCTGCCTTTTGTCCTTGGTCCTAATAAAAATGGACTGATCCAGAAAACTTTTTGTCTTAACCCTCAGAGTCGGGAGCTTAATTAGTTTTGATTCTACTGGAGCCCTAAAAAATCATACAATTTGTCTCCTTTTATTTAACCTCTGCTGTACACTCATTTGGGAGATCGGGGTCTAGGTCAGGACCTGATACCATTTGAAAGAAATTTCCCTACTTCCTATTATCTACTCATTGTTTTGCTCTTTATTTATAGTTTGGGTTTCTCATATAAGAGAAACTAGACAATAAAGCTTTCATGTTTTATGTCACATAATATTATGGTCTTCAGTGCACCCATTTTCCTATGAGTACAAGTTTATCTTCCTTTATGGCAGAGAAGTATTCCATTGCATATAAATACCAACTCATCTATTGATAGGCATAGAGGAGATTCAGTGTTTAGCTTTTATAAATTGTGCTACTATAAATACTGGTTCACATGTATTACTGTACTATGGTAACTTTAATTCTTATAAGAAGATACATAGAAGGCGAATAGCTGGATCAAATGGAAGTTATGTTTTTTTGAGGAATCACCATACTGATTTCCATAATGGTTTTCCTGGTTGACATTTTTGTAGAAGGGTTCCTTTCCCTGGTGGTCTTGCCTGCATTTGTTATTACCTGATAGATTGATGATAGCCATTGTTTCTGGGGTAAAGTGGAATCTCAATATTATTTTAATTTGTATTTCTCTAATGGCCAGAAATATTGAACATCTTTTCAAGTATTTATTTGCATTTTTTTCTGAGAATTTTTCTGAGTATTTTCCTTTTACTTGCCCATTTTTCATTGGGGGAATCTAGAATTCTGAGTCCTTTAAATGTTTTAGATATTAGTCTGTGTAGGGAATAGCTGTCTGTTCACTCTATTGTTTCTATTGCTTTTGAATTTGATATGACTTCATTTGTTATAATTCTCAGTACTATTTCAGTGCCATTGGAGTTTTGTTCAGAAATTTCTTGTCTTTACCTGTGTATTCAAGAATTTTACCTATTTTATCCTACAGCAGATTAAATGTTTCTTATATAACATTTAGATCTTTGATCTATTCTGATTTTCTTTTAGAACACTGGGAGATGTGGGTCTACACTCAGTCTTCTGATGTGGCTATCGAGCTTTCCCAGTACCATTTATTAAAGGGGCTTTCTTCTGTGCAGTGTAGGTTTTTGGCTCCGTTGTCAGAGATCAAACATCTATATGTTCCTGGGGTTGTTTCTGCCCCCTCTGTTTATTCCATCTTGATTTTTGTGCTATCCCTGTGCTGTTTTAATCACTGTAGCTTTGCACAACTACAAATCTGGCATTAGGATGGCTTCTGCTTTGCTTTTGTTACCAAGAATTATTTTTGCTGTTCTGCGTTGCTTCTCAATCGTAAGAATTTCAGGATTGTGTTCCCTAATTCTATGAGTAATGCTGTTATTATTTTGATTGTAACTATATTAAATTTATGTGTCAATATTGGGAGTTCAGGATGACTAATTTAAATAAATGGTTCTGCCAGTCCAGGTACAGGATAATCCCAGTGTCCTTTTTCAGAGTGATGTATTTTTTGTGGTAGAGAGCCTTCACTTTTTTGGTTTGGTTAACTCCCAAGTATTTAGTTTTTCTTCATCCTGTGGTATCATGCATCTTAATGCTATGGTGAAAGGTATTGTTTTCCTATTTTATTTTCTCAGTTAGCCCATTATTACAGGAGGAACATTACTGTTTTTTAGATGTTGATTTTGTGTCCTGCTACACTACTGAATTTAGTAAAGTCTTTGGGTGAATGGTTTTAGGTCTTATATAAAGAAGAGCATGTCATCTTCAAATAATGATACTTTGACTTCTTCCCTTCCTACAGACACCCTTTTCGCTTCTTTATCTTGCCTGACTGCTCTGGCTGTTTGGAGGACTGTGATGAACAGAAGTGGTGATAGTGGACACCCGTGTTTCATTCCTGATTTTAAGGGGGAAACTTTCAATTTCTTCCCCATTTAAAATGATGTTGGTCATTGATTTGTCTTAAATGGCTTCTGTCAAATTGTGATAAGGTTCTTCTCTACCTATAGTCTTTAGGATTTTTGTCATGAATGGATTTGGATTTTGTCTGAAGTTTTCTCTGTGTCTGTTGAGAGGATCATGTTACTAAAAATTACATGAATTTTTTTGATAATATTTGCATTGAGCTTTTTATTAACTAAAGTCATAAATATACTTTCTAATATTATTTTATTCCAGTACTATGTATTTTCTGAGTCTATTTTTTTAATTTTGAGTTGTATTGTTTCTTAGAAACGTAGTGTTAATACATAAGACCAAATTATCAGTTTATTTAATGTTCTTTGACATTTGTGGTAATATTCTTATTTGTCTGAATAAATTAACGGCCACATCTGAAGTCATTTTATTAATCTCAAATGTACAGTATATTTGTGCTTATTCACAGATAACTTGTACATTTTTTGTCTTTTTCCTGCAGAATACATTAAATATAACAAATAATAACTACTATTCTGTTGAAGTTGAAAACATCACTGCTCAAGTTCAGTTTTCAAAAACAGTTATTGGAAAGGCACGTTTAAACAACTTAACTAACATTGGTCCACTCGATATGAAGCAGGTAGGTCTGCCATGAAATATGCTGAATGAGTTAAATGATATGTAAGGTTTCAGCTGTATATATCATATAACTTGAAAGAGTGGGGTGTTTTCTCAAAATTTGATTTTGAAATATGTCCCATACATGTATAAGATGAAATCTTAGAATCAGGATTCTAAAAGGAAAGATTTCTAACTTTGAAATTTTGTTATATAACCGAAGTGTTTGAATGTTTTGATCCTGTAACCTTTTTTTTTTTTTTTTTTGCATTTCAGATTGATTATACAGTACCTACTATAATAGCAGAGGAGATGAGTTATATGTTGTAAGTTCTGATTTTATTAGCTTTATCATTAATAATAATGAGAATGTTACTCCATTTTTAAATTTTTACAGTCTGACTAGTTAAAAAGACCATGGTTTAGAATTCATTCTAGCTTCTGGCCTATTTTTTTCCTTTCCTTTCTCAACATTTGTATCATTTAGATTAATGTACCTATAATTTCGTTATTTTTCAGAATTAGGTTTATGTACCTCATGTTACATTTTATTTTTAGTTTCTTTGTTAAAAGAAGCATTATTATAATCTTGATTTTCTACTGTAGGAGGACTAAAACTGCTAGTAATTTATATATTATACATTGGCTTGAAGTTCTCAATCTTTAAAATTGGGTCTAAAGTATTAGCTCTTAATAATTATAAATTTTCATCATCTTTTGTCAAAATATATATATGGAGTTTCTAATCCTGAATATCTAATCCTGAATATGTCAAAATATATATATGGAGTTTCTAATCCTGAATTCTTAATAACCAACATAGTGGTAACTAAAATTTTAAAAGCTAAGCAAAATATAAAAGTAATTTGTAGTACACTTTAAAACAACTCTGTAACTCCAAAGATATGAATGCACAAATGCGTTTAGAGTTAGAAGTCATGATTGTATCCATCACTACTTGAAGTATGTGCTCAGCCACTAAATGATTCCTTATAGAATCTGTATAAGCTTTAACATAGTAGAATTGTAAGTATGTAATATAGTAACTTATTCACATTTTTATTTAACAGTGATTTTTGTACACTGAAATCCATCAAAGTACACAACATAGTACTCATGATGCAGTAAGTATTTTTTTGAAAAATATTTCCTGTTAAAATTTCAGATTTATATTATTGGCTTATAATATACAGTCCATCTTTATGAATGCTACTCCAGTTGGAGTTTAAGCCTTACAAGAATGCTATAAACCAAGTAACTGTTATCCCGCTGAACAAAATGAAATTGGCTGCTCAGAATAGTGCAGGAATACTGGATGCTAAGTCGTGAATATGGGTAGCACAGGAGCTGAGTATAATGGCAAGAGTCTGAACAAAGAAGACCACACCTAGCATCCAATTCCTTGCTTTCTTGGTAAGCAGTCTCAACAGAAATAAGAAGAAATGATGTTAGCTTATAAAGCATGTGTTATCTAAGCCAATTAAAGATTGTTAGTTATAAGTTTGGTATTTTGCCCATTCGATTTTACATCTTATTAATCATTTTCATGATGAGGGAAGTGTGTGATTTATTTTTAAGCATGTGATGATTTTTAAATTTTAAACTAAAAATAACTTTTTAAATTACATTTTTTAAATAATTATTTAACTAGACCATACTGAAGTAGCATTTTTATGTGTGGTAAAGAAATAGTCCCTAAGTGGCCTGTGTCCACAATATTAAGTTACATTAATCAAATAATCTCTCCCTGGAGAGAATTTTTATTTATAAAAGTTTTCTCATTACAGAAAAACTGTTCATATAGGTATGAAACATTTCTCTCGCTCTGATTCATTTTTAGAGTAACTGTGACAACAACATACTTTGGCCACTCTGAACAGATATCCCAGGAGAGGTACCAGTATGTAGACTGTGGAAGAAACACAACTTACCAATTGGGGCAATCTGAATATCTAAATGTCCTTCAGCCACAGCAGTAGAAATGGAAGGAGATGCAACTAAAGGAGATGAAATACCTATAAATATTGTCTGACTCTCAAGGAGGTATTCTCTAGTAGAAAATCTTAAATTGAACAAAGGTAAAAGTTTACACTCATAATTTAACAGTTTGATTAAAAGTTTGTGGACTTGAAATTATTGTAATTTTCCATTCTGTGTTAATAATATATTTGTACCAGGATCTTTTACTTGAATATAAATTTACCAATTGGTTTCCTTCTCCCCTTCACATCCCAGAGGGAAAAACTGAGAACTTCCCCTATAGTATAATAAATAATTATTTGAAAAATATAGCTTCAATCGGTAACTCAACTGACAACTGCAGTGACAGCAATGTTCTGATTACTTATTTATGAATGTTTTTGTAGAAAATTACTGAAAGCCTATTCATCAGAGACTTTTGAAAAGTAACCGTTTTTGTGTGTTTTATAAACGCCTACAATTAGTTACATGGTAGTACTATATTTCAACTACATAATATTTTAGCTTTTAGCCAAGTATTTTTAGCCTTTAATTTGTTGGAATTCTCATTTGCATGTGTTTATCTTATTCCAAGCTGTTAAGTGCATAATACTTACCAACCAGAATAATAGTCACAAAGTTCTGTATGTGAAAATTTTTAAAAGCTCTAAATACTGTTTTTCATGTGTATTTCCATAATACTTATAATTTTGTGACATTTTTGTGTGATCTTCAAGCATAATCCTTTAATGTACAATGCTGTAAATAAACTCTGCATGGCTTTTATACAGCTTTGATAAATGTCAAAATGGAACAGATTCCAAATTAAAGCAAGTAGCTCATAAATATAAATAAAGGAAAATGAAATTTAAAAACTGATTGTGAATAGGTATTGTTTTATGCTGGACCTGGCATAAAATAGACTGGAAATGAAATATTTTTTATGCTTCACTTTTTTCATGTTGCTTTCATATTAAAAATTGATTTAGACATTTTTCACAACTGGTAGGTATTTAATCATCAATTTTATGAATATTTTTGAGGAGAAAGTTATTTCTTTAATATAAATTATTCAAAAAGTCCCACCATTAAATAATGGTGATTATATTTTAAAGAAAACCTGTGTTATGCCTTTAAAATTTTAATCGTATTGTGTATTCACATGACTGTGATGCTTGTAGCAGTTAAATTTTTAAATATTTCTACTTTTGGTTTTATTTAAAATTATTTTCAAGTATAGGTTACTGACATACTCTGTATGCTGTTTAATATTTTCAGTATTGTTTTTCAGTTGATCTTTTTGCCTTTTCAGTCCCTAAATTCTAAAATCCTTTTAAATGCATACTACTAAGCGTAGGAGCTGAGTATGATACCAAAAGAAAAAAAAGTGAGTTGAGGTCAGTTTCTTTCTGTTTCCCCATGACAGAAATCAGGTCTCACGTTCTTCACCCCTAAGTGCCTAACCTACTTTCTCATTTGTAAAACATAAATTTTAAAGGTTTCATTATGATCTTTAAACACTCAGCTATCCAATTAGTTTTCGTATCATTTTTCCCAAGTTTTCCTGAGTGAAAATTATAATTGGAATGTGCTTTATAAAAATTGCTTAATCTTTCCTTAACCCAAAGCTAATTTAGCCATCCCTACCACTAAATCCATATCACTCCTTTAAATTCATTAGAACATGCTAATCAAGCCCAGTATTTATTTCCAGTTTTCTTCAGCCACATTTGCTGGTTACTCCCATTCTTCTTGCAGCTGTATGCTTCTTGATACGTATTGATTACTTTTTATTTTTCAAATAGTTCTCACTTAATTTTCCTTCATTTCAATATGACTTATGCATATGAATGATTTATATCCCCCTTTTTCTCAAAATTTCTAATCCTGTTTAAAAACATTTTTTAAAATTTAAAATTTTAAAATTGTAATTAGTACCTGTTTATAACACATAATTACCTTCATCATAGGAAGTTAGCACATATACACCACACACTCCTGATTGTTTTTGCTGACTTTTACTCTAGTCTCCATCCATCTCTTAGTTCTATTCCCATTTGCAAAACATATATCCCATTTCCTGCCATCCTTTATTTCAGTCTTTAAATTAAATATACCTAGAATTCCTATGACTTTAAAAATCACCAATGTCTAAATTAGAGCTTCCAAATCTGTTTCTCTGTACCTGACCTTTAAGCCATGTAGTTGCACATTTATAAAGTAGAGATATAGTTTTTCAGTATTACTCTATGTGAAAAGCCAGAAATGTTAAAAGAATTTTATTGTTTGGTTTTCACCGTGTCTTCATGTCTCACTAACATCAAAATAGCCATTCATTTCTTTAAAATTATCCTTTAGGTAAGCCTTATATGATAATCAATACTTATTATCCTGCTTTGTGTATTTTGACCTTGGAAAATTACATAGTGTAAATTAAAAAGATTTTTCTGATGAATTGTAGCCCTCTTGTCCTTTTAAGAGTACATGCGTAGTACCTCTTGAAAAAGCAGGAATCAACATTTGTTTTTAGTGATACAACTTTGATTTTTCTCTTTATCACTCTTTAAATTGAAAACTCTTTGTTAAATCTAGTTTCAACAAAGTTTGAGTCAGAAGAAACTAGGATTTAAGACTAGTAAAGAGAAATAAAGATTGCCTGCTTTCAGAGAGAATTAAATACCAGAATAAGAACAAATAGGCCATAATTAAAAACATATTTTGGAGAAGTAAATGTACAGTCATCAAAAAATCTGGAAAGAATATCTAATACCAGATCTTACCTAGGGACAGGAATACTATAACATTTTTCTGATGCTTTCAGGAATAGTTTTGACTTTTCATCTTAATAGCCTGGTCCTTCTAACAAAATTCAACACTTTAACAAGCCTCTGTGTTGGTATTATTATGTAGCAAATTGACCACTGTAGAGCTCTTTCACATATTTTTCTTACATAGTTTCGCAAAGGAAGGATTTTAGGATACCATCTTCTAGAAGCAAAATGCAAGGCATAGAGACATTGAGGGACTTGCCTTAAGATCATATATTCGGTGAACACTTTCTTTGGGGCCCAGGACTAGTTCCTGTGTCTTTCAGATCTGTTGTATCACTTGAAGTGTTCTTTGGAGAGTCCTGCTGACTCAGGTTAGTGTGATTACAACTTAAAGGAAAAGTTCACATAGTTAATAGTGGCAATCAAAACAGCACCGATGGATTCAGATTTTGGTAGTTTTGAGTTGCTATCTGAAATATTTTAAATAGGGAACATGGATTTGTAGAATAATTTGGAATATAATCTACAGCTTAATTTTTCATTAAGATTTAGTATACTGATTATTTCAATAGAAGAGAAAATATCAGTAAATATTTATAAGCAGTAGAGATATTATCTTTAAAAATTGAAATGAGAGCAGTATAAAAATACTAAATATTAGATAAATTGCTTAAAATTAATATATGAACATCTACTAATACTGTGGTATACAACATTCACATGTTTAGTTTTATTAGTGTGCAGTTTTTCTGTGCTTTTTTTTGGTTAAGCTAATGAGGTAATGTTTCTTCAAAAAATTCACTAGAACAAAGTGTTACTTCAAATCTTCTGATTTGTAGTGTGGAAGTGACAGTGCAGTATAAAAAAAAGTAGGAGATGACTGTCAAAACAGAACAAAAGTAACATATTAGGAGATTTGAAACTTTAGCCTAATGAATACTTTGTGGTTTTAGACTTATTATTTAGAACTGCATATTGCTGACTTTTCGCCCTTTGTTTTTAAAGTGATTAGAATAAACACTTCCTTTATATAATGATTGTTTCTTATTCAAGAAAGTTCTTTCAGTTAAATACTTGTTAAAAGCTGTTTCTATTTTTGAATAGTTATGTTTTCTTTTATATGTAGTATAAAAGGAATTTCAAGTTACTAGTTTATAAGCAAAAGTTTACTATAATGTCATCAGATAATGATTGTTAGCTCACAATATCTAGAAGCAACTACTACTAAAAATAATTCATTTTATTTCTCTTATTCTTTTGTGGAATGAGATTTTAAATAAAAAGTTTATCTTAAACTATTTTATTTTAAGGAAAAAGTATGTGTTTGAGTTGGTAAGGTAAAAAGACTCTTAAACTTTAAAATTCCTATTTTTACATTATAACAAAATATATTTGTGATCCACTTGTATCAAAAATTTAACTTCTACATACCATATCTAATATTAAAGTAAAAATTTCTGATTAGAAAAGCCATTTGTGTGTATTTCTTTGTTTGTTTAGAAAACAAATTCATACTGGATTTTTAAAATTTATCCTTAATTTGGATAAAGTCAAGTAATACAAAGTTACTATAGAGCTAAAAATGGTACTTTCCATTTTTCTAAATTACTAAAGTGATTGTGTTTGTAGTTCTTTTTTAAGCATGTTTAGCACAGGCTTTAAACTAAATACCATAGTATAGTCTTACATTTGACCTAAAAATCTCATACATTAATTTTACAAATATATGGCAATTTTTTCATAGCTAAATCTAACTCTTCTTAGAAGGGCCAATGTTGCCTTCTGTTTAATTACATTAATTGAAATGTGTTTAAGAGAAATGTTTTCAGCATATTTTGTATATTAAAAAAAGGATTAGTATTGGGCTAGTGGCCCAAAAGGTAATATTGCTACCATGTAGACTATTACAGTTCAAATTGTCCCTCCTCCCTCCAGGATTTTTGAAACTAGAAATCTGGGAGATACTGTATCAACTGTAGTTGGGTGAATCTGAGTGCGCTAGGTACTGTTCATCTTTTAATTATTGTATGAGGTGGAACAAATGCCATATTGCAGAAGATACAGAACCTCATTATGTAATAGTTATTGTAGACATAAGAGCAAACCATGTCTGTGTATTTTGTCTTATTTTCTTTTAACACTAAAAAAGATTTTGGAAAATTATTTTGAGCCAGGTATGGTAGCACATTCCTGTAATTCCAGCACTTGGGAGACTGAGGCAGGAAAGTCATGGGTTTGAAGCCAGCCTGGGCTACATACAGAGTTCAGAGTCATCCTGGAGTACATAACAAGACCTTGTCCAAAAAACAAAACAAAATAAAAAAACAAAAACAAAAAACAAAAACAAAAAAAATGGAGTGCTCGCTAGTTGACATAACCCACCAGTCAGATATTTGAATAATTCTACTGTTATACTCTCACCCTCCCTAATTGTGGAATGTAGAATGTGAAAATATATTTGGCACTTATGTTTTGCTTGTATTGTGTAGTGGCCTCCATCATGACACATTTATTAAATTCACTAACTGAGTGATTCTGTAATTATAACTATATTGCTGTTCATGTAAAAAAAAATGCTTGTGATAATAGCAAATAAATAGAAGTACCCCCAAGTGCTATTTTTTAAATTCAGTTGTAACTGTCAGTCTTGAATTCATGTATGGCAAAATGTAAAAAATTCAGCATGAAAAATAAATTTGTATCTCTCAAGTGTTTTGGTTATGCTTTTGAAATTTTCTTACATAAACAAATGAGTATAGATACTGAAAACCCTTTAGCTTTAAGCTCTTAAATCTTTATAGCCTTTACCTCAACTCTGTTTAGTCTCATCTTTTACTTTCTCTCATCCATTTAGCTTCCTGTTATTAAATTCTACTCTACCTTGGTAATATCTCTACACTCTCACACTAGAAATCTCTGTTGCTATAATTGCCTTCTTTTTTATTGAAAAAAACATGAATCGTTAATCTCATTGAAAGCCTCACATCATGTAGCCATAGCCTGAATTCACAATCTTGTTTCTTCTTACAGTACTGCCATAACCTGTATCCCAGTCAAATCGACATGTTTGCCACTCCTTAGAAATTGTTCTTTTCTTACCCATTTTCTCATTCTATCAGGTTTTAATGTTCGTGCCTGCTTGAACTACTGGTAGTATATGCATGACTATCCCATTGGGCAGCTTGTAAAAATGAATCTGATTACTTTTATCCCCCTTTTTACTAATAAAATTAATTTTTTAAAAGCTGCCTGATGAAATCATCACACATGTACCACCAGTGGTTCAAATCTTGTCACAAATAAAATTTTTTATAAAGGGTGCTGGGGATGTACCTCAGTGTGAAGGTCCTGGGTTCAGTCTTCCGTATTTTCAGAGAGGAAACAATAGCTTTAATCTAGCTGAAATTGCGATCAGATTCTTTCTTGGTTCATATTTGCAAAATGGCGGAAACTTAACTTGTATCACTTTTGATAAATGCTCATGCTACAAATAAAATTTAACCCTAGTCAATCATAAATAGCCACCTAACATGAGTATGTAATTTGGGACTTTCTAAAAAATAAATGATATGTTCATTTTGCTTCTTCATTTTTCCCAGTAAATACTTCTGAGCTCTCATCATCAGAATATTCTTTCAATCTGCTGTTTCCCAATTTATAAATTGTTTCTTACTCAAACTGTCTAAAACTAATGTGCCTCAGATTTTGGCTTAACAAGTCTCAATTTCCACAAAAGTTTGATGGCTAAAAATAAAGTACCACCACTTTTATCCCTTGAATCCTTTTAGTTCGGTGATGGAAACAGAACTGAAGTATAACTCCAGCATTTTAAGAGGCTGTGAGAATGGAATATAAGGTAATGAACATGTGGGATCTGGTACCCAAGCTTTCCAAGCAGCACACTGCAGAAGGTAACTGTGCCAGCCTCTGTTGGTCATGTGGGTCATCTCAGATTGTGACTATACTCATTGTTTGTCCAAATGTTTTCCATGAATGCTATGGATGGAAAATATTAGGAAGCTCTACACTTTAAAAGGATGAACAAAATAAATACTCCTTGTTAATCCTCTAAATTTTATAGCAAGTGTATAGTATGTTTTCCAGCGTTTTAGACCATATAATAATTAACTTTTTTCCTTAAGCCAACTCCAGGACTAGACCCTTTGCCTCCAGCGAGCTAAGAAAACATGAAGGATCTCGTGGAAGTGTTTAAAGTTCCATTCTCAGGCTGACATACATTGAACTCTGACTATGCTGCTCATCTTAGGACCAAGAGGTGGACCTGGCCAAAAATTAACAGCTTTAGAAAACACAGAGCTGTCTTCAGTGTCAGGACCCAGATCTATGCCAGTGAAAAGTTCATATGGGCAGCATGTGGTGATAGTGATAGAGCACTTAGAGAAAAGATGCAGAGTAAGTCTTGTAGGAAGAACAGCTAGGAGAAAATGCCTGATATAATAGTCCAGATTTTCCTTAAGCAGGAGAAAGTTTCAAATTGAAAGGACCCAGAGCTTTATCAGAAAGGACTAAAAACACAACAGAATCTTCTGTAAAGTCATTACAAAAAATAAATGTATAAGAAAAAAATGTCGTGTGGATAAAACCTTGGTCAACCCTTTATCCAGCAGTCCGAGCTTTTCTCCCCACCACCTCATACACAACAGTTTTGTTTTGAAACTCAGGATGGATGACAATTCAAGAGACAGAACCAGCAGAGTCGGGTAATTATATATGCATTATGTATTCATGTGTGCATGCGTTTTCAAGGACAGCTTTCATGATTGTAAGCATTGGCTGAACAGGAATGGAGAAGAGATGGCCAAGAAAGGAAAATCACCAGAAGTTTTAAAGTCAGAGGGAAAAAATGAAGTTCATGGTTGAAGTTGCTGTTCATGGTAGAACTTGTTCTGAGGAAATCTCAGCTCAGCTTCTTAGCCCTCCCAACAGATTCAACCCAGCTCAGTTCAATAACTCAGCCCCATATTTCTTACTTAACAACCAACTGGGACTTAGTAACATCCTCCACATGCCTTCAAATAATACCTAAATTAATATTTGGCAGAATTACTAGGGGCTGTAAGTTAGTCAAGTTGATACAGCAACAAAACTATCACAGTCCACTGTTTGTCATCTTGGCACCTGTACACATCTCCTCAAACCATACTTGTTATCTAAAGACAGACAATGAGATTATGTTTCCACTGAAAGTGGTGAACAGCTGTCGCCACTAAGCTGAAAGTATGCCAGCCCGTTCTCCAGAAAAGCATACAAAGTGGTTATGTGACGTTTGATTTGCTTTTACAATCCTACAACTTAAGTGAGATAAAATAGCAATCATAATTGACAAAAACTACAATAAATGTAACAAAACTATGCTTAACTAAAAAATCAATCAAAAACTATAAACACTTTTGTCAGTATGCACATTTTATTAGTGCAGTACATGTTTGCATTACATGATTACATTTGTTATGGGGAGCTGGTACCTGTGCATATTAAATCAGAATTCAGTTTTAATTCCCTTTGCTTGCCTCCCACTACCTCTGACCCGCATCTCTTGATTCTCTTGCCCATTTGAAAATGATCTCCCTACTTCCTATTATCTTTTATTTTGCTCTCTGTTTATATTTTGGGCTTCTCATATAAGAGAAACCATGCAGTATTTAAACTTCGTGACCTGTTTATTTCACTTAATAATTCGATATCAACTTGCATCTATAACTTAGAAATAACTCGTTTACCCTTCTTTATGGTACTCCATTGTGTATAAATACCACATTTTTTTTATCCATTCATTTGCTGATGGTCACATAGACCATGTCCAAGGTTTAACTGTTATCAGTTGTGCTGCTATAAACTGTGTGCCTGTATCATTGTACCATGATGTCTTTAACTCTTTCAGGAGGATACCTACAGGGGGACTAGCTAGGTCAAATGGAATTTCTGCTTTAGTTATTTTAGAATCTCTGTGCTGATTTCCATAGTGATTGTACTAGTTTGCTTTCTCACCAACATTGTAAAAATGTTCCATTCACCCCACAGTTTCATTAGAATTTATTATTTCATTTTTTCCTAACAGCCATCCTTTCTGGAATAAGATAGACTCTTTGTGTTGTTTTAATTTGCATTTCTTTAATATCCCGAACACTTTTATTTTTAAAAAGTTATCTTTTTGGGAATAAGGAAGGTTGAAGTCAAACCCTATCCTGATTTCAAAGTTTCTGCCTAGGCCCATTTCAGGCCTCTTCTCTTCCTTTGTACTGATAAAGACTTACCATGCTTTTCCTTATGACAGGGAACCATGTATTGGTTATTTTGTGCAGTGCAGTTTTAGGCTCTTAGGAGCCTTTGCCATGTAGATTAGGTACTACACTGCTTCCTGGAGTTCCATCCCAGAGCCTTTCTCCTGGAGCCCCCTTGCCTGAGTAGACATTCTCTCACTTAGGTCATATTCAAGCCACAGCTACAACGTGTGACCTGGGGGAAACTTATGAGAAAAGGGGCCACCTTGACCTAAATGATTATATCAAAGTTCAGAAAGGATACTTACACATAGACACAAGGAGTATCTCAAATAGTGGGGTCGTAAATAGTTTTAATGTTACTTAATATTTATAGTTTCTATTTTTATACTAGCTGGTGAATGCCATTCAAACAATTAGTACATTCATTTGGTGTAAGTCAGAATTGTTCCAGACAGATTTTTGAAGGTGTTACAGCTAATGGTATATTACTCTATAGACCAGTCACCTAGCATCTGTGAGACCTTGAGTTTGATCCTTAGCACCACACAAAGAAACCATATGTATCATTCAGGTTCAGTGTGAGCAGCATAATCACTAAAACCTAAATAACTTTATAATTGCTCACAATTATAATCCAATGTTGCATAGGCAGACCACATTTATTTTGCAGTGATACTTAAATAAATCACTTAAACTCGGGTTGTACAGGATTTCTTATTGAGATCAATGCAGCATATAAAATATTCCTCTTATACAACATATTTTCTGGATGAAGACAGTTTAATGTTTTGTCCTCCACATTAGTAAGTGATTTTTTAAAGCCAAAATGTTATATACATTGGCAAGACAAATGAAGATTGTGGAAAAGTAATTTGATGTTGCTTTGTCAGTCTGTACATGAAGTATGCTTCTTGAAGTGACCCATGTCATTTATAAATTATATACAACAATATAGGTGAATTGTGCTGCCACTCTAAAGGTGATTAAAGTGTTTGAATTTATGTGGACTCAAAGAACAAAGCAGCTAAAAGACTAATAAATCAGCTTCCCTTCCTATAAATGACTTCTTTATGAATTACTCATCTGTTTATTGGGACTCTTCTGATTCTAATGCTGTGGTTTTTCATAAAGATAATGTCATATCTTCCTGTGATGAGACTTCTAACCATCAAAAGAATATAGATAAGGAAGGAGACTTGAGAGTTTATAAAGAAAGTCCTTTAAGGTACTCTCCCTCAAAACTGCATGAGAATTTCCTAGGATCTTGCTAAAACTAAGACTTTTCAGAATCTACATTTTCTACGGTTTCAGATTCTACATTTTTCACAATGCCTAGATAATACCAATAATATTCTCTCAAAGTTCTAGGGAAATCAGAATGTCAAATGAGTCAAGAATTAGTTGAGTGACACAATTAAGCACCTACTTCAGTTTATTGACTTAACTAAAAATGAAATGGATCAA